AAACAAAAATATCAAATGAGTCAAATAAAACAAAACAAATCCTTAGCTTTTAGAGTTATCTGCGAACAGAGAAGATATCTTATCACTATATTCATTATACTTTGATATCTACTTTGTTACGAAGCCTTCTTGACCACTCTCCAAGAAACCTTATTTGCCCCAGTTACAATTTGATTTGGCTTAGAATTGGCTGCCACCTAACATTATCCTCATTTCCCACTTCTTCCAACTAACTAATTATAGGATTTCACTCATTTTATACCCCTGGTTATAAGAGTAGCTTTTCTATATAACCTTCCTTGCTGGTAGTAGCCTCTAGCACTACCTGGAAGTAGTTCCAATTGTTGTTATCTTTACATGTATTTCTATTGCACTAGGCCTTTACCTGGATGGAGGAGATTTTTTTTACTTTACTTTATTAGTTATTATAGAAAATGTGAGAAGCAATTTTGCTCTGCTTTAAAGTAACTACTATATTTTTTGTATATTCCTATTATTTTGTATTAGAATTAATACTTTTTCTATTGTTATACTATGAAGTACATGTATGTTTTTAAGCTAGAATCAATAAATATAAAAATATAATATAAATGAAACAAGAATAGTACAAAGAAAGAGTTAAATGTTACTTGACTCTTGATTATAGTTGTCATGTTAGAATATGGGAATTTCTTCCTACTTGCATTTATAGATAACTAAGTTATTAAAGATCTCTTAGTACTAGTAGTACCTTTCCTCCTGAGATCTATTGCAGACATTTTGTATTTGATGTTAGATAAAATATAAATCATAATTTAGAAAGTATATGTATGGAATCAGAAGTAGTTCTAAAGGCTTCTTACTGGTTTTTAAAGTAGCACAATTCTGAACTTATACCTTATACCAACATGGACCAAATAAAAAGAAAAATAATTATTGTTTCTTCAGATTGAAGACAGAACTTCTCTTTACTCTTTATACTAAAGTCTAGAATATCGAGTTTTCACTAGTTATATAAGAACTGTGACTGTCTCTAACAATTGATCTTCTCATCTTTACAGATATTGCATTGTTCATAGCAGGAAATAAACAACTTGTTTGATATTGTAATAGGTCTTAACCTTCCTGAGGTTATATACTATATACTACTAGAAATATAGTCTAATCTGTATACTTCTTGGAGTGTCTGGCTATCTTTAATAGATCTTCTCATTCAATATGCCTATCAGGATTTATTAAAACAATAGTTCTTGTTTATTACAAATGTCATACAGGTAGAGAATATCATAGTAACCAGCTAGTAGCAACTACTACTTAGATGAATGAGTGAGGAACTAACTAGCCTAGTAACTAGCTAGTCTCACCCCATTATATAGTCCTGCTTTTGTAAATTCTAATCTTGAGAACTCATACTTATAAGTTACTTGTAATATATGACTGATAATTCTGAGTTATATAAAATCTATTAGCTGACTGACTCCTATAAGTCACTGTATAAGATGTCTAAATTAATATACTAAGTCATGTGTACTAGTTGCATCACATGTGCAAAACCCATAACTTCTATTATAAGTCAAGTATGAAAATCATAACATAATAACAATATTACAAGTGTGAGTCATATAAAACCCTATGACACAGAAGCAAGTCAGGTGCAAAAGATAATATCTAGGACTCAGAACTCTGAGTAATTTGAGATCCTAACAATTTGATCTCTTAGGAGATGTCTGCATCACTATTACAACATAAACCAGATCACGGAATTCGAGTGATAATGGGTGAGCCTTTTTTTTGGTGGCTCCCAAAAGTCGGTTCCGCTTCGGGAAGGAGAAGTAGCGATTCTGGAGCAAACCCGCTGGAAGCGGATTTGTGCCACCGGACGCGAAATACCCTTCCACCCGAGTACCTTCCTACTAAGCCAGCAATGGTATCGTGTGGTGGAGCCTCCTTGGATCAATGCCTCGGCCCCCAGGAGTGCCCGACCTGGAAGTCAAAGAAACCACTATTCAAAATGCAGGGCTACTATATATAAGTGAATTAATGATTATAGTAGGGGTGAGAGAGGGTTTTCAGGCCATACCTTATGGTGCATGCCATGGATTTTCCCATAATTAGCTTTGAATAAACTGCGGATTTAACAAAAAATATATCTAGTACCGTAGGATAAGAGAGGTATAGGCGGATATTGAAAATAGAAATAAAACAAATGCCGCATCCGTGGAGCGATAACCAATTGAAAACAAAAGGGCGTTGAATTAGATTCATCTAACTTAATATGCCAGGGGATTTAATTACCACTTATTAATTGGGAAGGTGGACAACCACTAGAAACCCGCGATTACTCAGCTAAATGCAGTTCCACGGGGCTTGGTCTTAGACTTGGACTCCCCCCCTATGATAGATAACGGTGGTGGGGAGAGTAAAGTTTCCCTTTTGGCACTGCGGTACCGGTATTACCTGTATTGTAAGGGTACTGTATCTGAGAAGCTACGCTGGGTTGCCTTGACATGCCCACAGCTTCTCCGGAACTTTCCGTACCGTCAGCTTAAAACATTTTGTCGTTACCCGTACCGGACAGGTACCGGTACAGGCTCCCATTGCTCCCTTTAACCTTACTCGCATCAGTACTCGTACAGTACTCAAGTGCTCGGGTGCACTGCTCCACCATGCACCGGCGCGCAGAAGTATCATAATTCGCTGTCGTCACCCTCTTCGAACAAGCATCCTCTTTCGAACGATAAAGAAGAGAAGAAATGAAGCCTCTATTCTTTTCTTGCCCTTCTCCTCACTTTTTCTTATTCAACCGGGCTGGACAGCACGGTTTTCGCGTTCCACAGAGAGAAGACTTTCCGCCAAGCTTCGCAATCTCCGCTGGGTCCTGGCCAACTTTGTGGTTTGACCGGTTGGTCTCCCAAGAGACCCATGTGCCTGCAGTTTGCTTTCCCCCTTTCTCATTTTTCGCTTTATTGGGAAGTTGCCACGGGTTTGTAGTTGGCTGCGGGTACCGGTACGGTGGGGACCCGAGGCCTTCTTTTCTTTCCTTTTTTTCCCTCTCTCGTTCTTTCCCTGTCAGCATTTCGTTCTCGACGAAGAGGAAGGAAAGGAGTGGGCTCTGGCGGCGGTGCAACGCCGGTAGCGCTAGCACCGCTCGTCAGGAGGCTTCCTTGCACCACGCTGCTTCTACTGGCTCAACCTGGTCTCAGCGATGATTGTGATGAGTGGGATGGGATCAGGGAGATAGAGATGTGTTTAGGGAATTTTGGACGAGATAGGCGGGTGGATTCCCGCGAACCGTAAATAAGGTTTATGTGTTTATTCTCGGGTACAGTATGTGGTGTTGTGAGGGTATCCGAGCACTGTGCTCGAAGACAGCGCTGGATTTCCGATTTCTGGAATTTCTTCTGGTATGGTGCCGGCACCTTAGAATCAACTCTCACGACAACCGAACCCCCCCAACTTTCGGCGGGCAACAACATCACATATCATTATTTTCCTTATTCCTTCTGTATAATCCTCCTAAAACATATAAAGAACACATTTACAGAGCAGATTTCACTCAAGGGGTGTGGTTCTTTCTATAACAGCTGTTAAAGTTGAGGCAAAATTTGGGTGGAGCAAGGAGGTTGGCACTTGTGTGTGAAAAGCAGGTTTTTTCTGAGTAACACACTAACACATTGCCTAAAGCAGTATGGTCAGATACTACATTAGGACTAGTGCCCGGACCCGGATGGCACTGAAGGTCGATTCTAAGGTGCCGGCACCATACGCATACCGTATAATACTGTGCTGGTACTTGTACACTTGTACCCGTACTTGTATAAGTACTGGCACTCGAGTACCGTACCGGTACGAGTACTTTCTATTCTGTTTCCCGGACGTCGTGTTACCGCGCTGTTCCACCCTGCTGTTACCCGAACTTGTGCTCCAAGGGCCTCTCCGGCCTCTGTACGGCATCTGAGTCGCTGGTGCTGAGCTCCTGCTTCGACGGGATCGTGTTAAGGGTACAAGTACTGAGTGCAGATGCAAATCTTAGCGAAACAGCCTCCGATCACACATAGCACGATACCGTATGCCTAGTCACGTTCTCCCCACGAGTACCGCACAGAGACCTTGGTTTTCGCTGCTGTTACCATACTGTATTCCATTGTTAATACTATACTCGAGTATCTTTGCCACCTTTGGCCTGCTTACTCTTTCCTTCCCGCCCCTACCCTGTTGCCCTGATTCCCCGGGATAAGGTAGGTACTTGTACAGCCCTCCTCGGCATGATATGATACAAGTGCACACATTCGATGGACCTGAGCCCTTCCCGTCCACTGTGCTCTACTTTACTCGGAGAGCATGTACCGTTCTGTCCGAATCGAGTCCGTGTAGAGACCCCCCCAGGTCTCTCCAATTTCCTTAGTAGCTGACGGGTTGTCTCATCACTGGTCTAGCCATAGCGAGACGAGAAACGGGGACGCGCCTTTCCGTTCTCTCTTCCCCAGTTCCCCTTCATCCCCACCCACCCCCCCTTCTCTTCTCTGTTTTCACCCTCCATCATCCCTCCTCCTTCCCCTTCGCTCTCTTACCGCCAACTTGGGTTTTTAGTCAGAGGCTCTTCGAGTTCATCTTCGCTGCTTTTCGGTCAGCGAGCCTCTATCAGTCATTCCTTAACCCTCACTTTGGCCGCAGATCCCCTATCCCGCCTTACCATAGTCATTCATTCATTGCCGACGAAGCCATCCTCTGTTCGCTCATTAATTCATTCCTTGCACTTTTTACCTATCACGCGTTTCCGTTCAATTCTTAATCTGTATTCTGTATAATTTTTTAGTCAGTCAAGCAGAAAAAACGGAAATTCTCTGCCCTCGGTGTCCTGTTCCGCATCCAGCGCCATACCTGCAGAAGTAATACGTTGGCGGCTTCGATTGCGATTCACTCAATATCCTACATTGTGGCAGTCTTATAGCATTTGCTGTCTGAAGGAATTGGTTTGTTTTACGAGAACTTGGAAGGTTGGTGTCAATGACTCTGGGAGAATGTTCGTTGCAACGACGGAAAATGGAATATTGTCCATCTCGGTTGTCCTGAAGGCTGGGTTGTGAGTGTTTGCTAACTTGTATTATAGTTTAATCATGCATCCCAACAGACATCATGTTCATCTGCGTCGGCTGGCGGCCGCTATGCCTGTGCCGGCGCCATTTGGTGAGGCTCCTACCATAAGTCTCAAGGGACGCGCCGATACGACCAGTGACGCTTCGGAATCTACGTCGACATGCAAAGATGGCGATACTTCTTCTAGATGCGAGAAGCCTGCTGGTGCCACTAACTCCACATTGCCAATCATCTTTGGGTCAATGTAAGTTTTGTCATTTTGGAAATGTCGAGCATGAATAAGGGTTCTAATATCTGTATTAGGGTGCCTATCTTTATTGCCATACTAGTGTTAGTGTGGCTACATCGAAGACACACTCAAAAACTGAAGAGAGAAGACGCTATGGATAAGACAAAAAGCATGGATTTTGGATTGGATATTGGTCCCACTAGTAAATATCCTGCCAATGGGGCTATCACTGGTGGGGAAAAGTCTAGTGGAAATGGACGCCGTCAACTCTCTATGGATATTGGTGTTAACTCACCTTACCTACTCCCAGCGGGGATTCACGGTTCGAAGGAAAGTTTGCATTCACTGGCTAGAAGTGGCGATGATCGTTATGGACGCCCGATGACTGCCGATTCGAGATATAGTCCGAGCTCTCCCCTTGCTCACGGTTCCTCTCCCTGGTCAGACCCAAATTCACGCCATGCCAATCGCAACAGCAATAACAACCACGATTGCGATTCTTCCCTCTATGAACCCTCGGCTGGGCACGATGAGAGCCCGGATGGTTCCCAAATGAGCATGACAGCCGAATTGCTAAGTGGAGCCCAACAGATGCCCACCTCGACCCCACCAAGATCTACTTCACTTCCAAAGGAGTCCCCATCACGTGTTCCTCGCATTAACGTTCCCACTCCGGCTGTCATTCGGTCACCTCATGGTTCTTTAGCCAAAGGCTCCTATGACGAACGGGATTCCTACGTGAGCGATGGTGATCTCCGTCGTAGCCACATGCACTTGGCCAAGCAAATTGATAATATTCAACAGCCGGCACCTGTCAAGGCTCCAGCTGGAATTCCGCCGGCTCTTCAGCTTGGACAAGCGTCCTCTGGCCCGCCAGCCCTTCCAAAATTTGATATCACTTTCAGCCCGTCGCCTGATCGTGGGTCTGCCCCGGATGGTCAAACCGAACAAAGGCCCCGACCCGTTTCTGATGATCAAAGTGATTATGGAGATGGTGTCCAATTCAGGTTCTCCTCTGCTTCCGCCGACAGTGATCACGCACTAGCCGTTGTTACTCCTGTCTCTGGACCTGAACCTCGCAAGAGTTTAGTACCTGGTGCCTTTGATAATCGGAGACTTTCCATGGGATTCCGGCCACTTCCCCCAGATGGCAACCCAGATGATACTGCCGAAGAAAGAGCAATGAGAATTAGGTCTTTCTACAAGGAATACTTCGATGATTCTGCTCCTGCGCCACTGATGCCCAGTATTCCCGCGCCTGAGGATTATCAAGGCTTGGGGCATGACTACTACGACGATTCAGCTCCAATTTATGATCCTGGTACTGGACGTTACCAGATTCCCGGTGCCAAGCCTTTTGCTGAACCACCTACTCGTCGTGCTATGACTCCTCCTCCGCGCATGCCCCCTCGTTTTAACCCCGGACCTCAATCAAGAGCTGGATCCGCTACTAGTGGGCGCTTTATGCCCCCTGGTCCGCGATCTTTCTCTTCAGCCAGTGGGTTTATCCCCGGTGGACGTCCGCCGCCACACAGAAGGCCAATGGCCCCACCCAAACCATTGAACATTCTCCCAACACCTCATCTACTGAAAGAGGACGCCTTTGCCTCACCAATCATGTTTGCGCCTCCATCCAGAGTTCCTGGCTCAGGCAGCGGAGGTATGCGTGGCGGTCAGCGCCCATATTCTCCCTCAGTTTCTCCTCACGTGCCACTTGCGTCGGCGTTTGACGAACTCGCAGTACTCCCAACCCCTCATATGTTGAGAAACTCTTCAACCTTCACAGCTCTTGATTTTGCTCCTCCGCGGAAGTTTAGGGAGGATAGTGGCACGGGAAGTGATGCCGGTAGCATCAGAAGCAACAGAAGCGGTGTCTCGGCTCTGCAAATGCAGAATATTAGGAACGGAGCCTATCGCGTGTCACGCCTTCCCCAGGATGTTGTGCCTGTGAAAGATGATATGACATCGAATCTCAAGCCAACATGGGTTATGCGACCCTAGTGGGCCTTTTTTATTTTTATTTTATTTTAATATTTCAGCAATAATTCTGTTCTTCTGGTGTAAGGTATGGTTTCTTTTCTGCAGCGCTTTCGGCAATAACGACTTCCAAAACCGAAGGAACGCTGGGCGATCGACGGAAACATTTCCTTGGTTCTTATTTCTCTTATCTTACGACGTGTGGGGTTTCTAGCCGAATCTCGTATACAGTCGGGTGGAAGTTTCGAGTGCAACTAATTCGGTGACTTAACGATGGTGTCATGAAGGCAGAGGCTTTCTATGACCTGTGTATAGATGTGAAGGTTTTTATACTCATTATTTTCTCTATTCAGCGGGGTTGATTCCGGGCATGCTAGTTCAGGGAGATTTGGAGGCAATCGATATTTCTGGCACGGGTTTTGAGGCACTCATTTTACTCGTTTTTTTGGCCGCTCCTTGTAATATCGTACTTGGATGTTGTTTCTTGGACGCAGCCCTCAACTATTTCCTTCTCTTCTCCATAACGGTCTCTCTAGGACCACTATTCCCGTGTGATCAGGCGGGAGGTGAGATGTGGATGGCTGGATGGATGGATTGATCGGTCTGGCAAATGCAAGATTCCTTTCTCATTATCGTCACCATCATAACCACTATCTTCACCACCGCTGCTATTAGCATCCCGGAGGCCCACCGTGTATTATTGGGAATATATTCTCCCTTTTCAGAACCCGGTTGTCAGTCAACATTGACTTTAGTAATTGGCTTCCTCTTTTCCTTATCTGCCGTCCTTTATTTTTTTCCACCCCCGCTGGAAATAGGCTATTTTCTTCTGCCCCCTCTCGTTTATCTGCTTTATATAACGCCTCGTGCCCGCGAATTCCTTCGTATATCCCTCTCCCGACCTATTCCCTTCCTTTGGGTCTGACTTACTCGTAGCTAACTGGTCGTAGTTTTAGTCGTAGTTTATTGTTTATATATATTTCCTTCAATTGTTTCTGCCCGGGCCTCGCCTCTTTTTTAGTTAAGTCGTCTATTGTTTTGTGTAAATTTGTGTCATTTGTGTTTTCTTCTGAGTTTGGTTGGTTGGTTGGTGGAAGTGAATAGATTTGGTTGCTACTATATTGTTCTTGCCTGCTGTTATAGTGGTGATGGTGGTTGAGTACTTGGATGGGTGGATGGGGTTTTTTTCTTCTTCCTGTAATCCTTTGATTGTTTAAGGGTACAACCTCTGTATACAATCCCTAGGTTACGACGTAAAAGCCCAAGGATGGATTGGGTTGGGTTGGTATGTGTATTAACGTTCCCGATGGGGTTCTTGGCCAACCCGTAGTAATTGGCCACTATGGAAACACAATCTCAAGATGCCATTCTTTTGCAAAACTGTATCAGAATCAAACACAAAGCCAATAAATCATATTTCCCATAAAATAGAGACTCCAAACACTGAGGAGAACAACAAGAATCTCTGAAGAAAAGCTGAATCTCCTAAAACCAGACCAAAATGCCTTAACACTGCATAATATGAGCAGCAAAGAAGAACCCCCCCCCCCACTATCAGATCTGCTCACGGAAGGCGGCAGTTGCTGGACCAGGTCCCCCATTCTCATTAAGAGGAATTTGAGTAAGGGGTGGTCGTCTGTGTGTTCGTGCAATGGGTGATGCAGAGGACGTATTTTTGACCTCGTCATCTACTATTTCTACTACCCCGATATCCATAGTTGGAGTAACTTCCCCCCCCCCCCAATGCTTGAAGCTTCTATACCAGTGCCAATCGCTTCCACTATGATAAGTTTTTCAACTCCGTTGCAATTCCTTTGTGCTGCCATTCCCTTGCTTTCTCCTCTTCTTGTAGCCTTTTTTGTCATAAGCGGTGTGGTTTCTGGTACTAATAACTTTTGCCTTTGATATCACTCGCCAGTCCATTTTGCTGGCAGGTTGTTTTTGCTTCTCTTGATATAGCAATTCAGCACTGAGGTGTGCTTCTGCAGCGCTTGTATGGGCTGCTAAGGAGAGTTGGCATATTAGTTGTTGAGTTTCAGCTGAGTTGGTAGATCGCAGTGCAAGATCCTCCAGGTGAGATACATTATCGCCCTGGCGGGTTGCATGGGCTATTGGGCAGTGGTGTCTGGCTGGCTGAGCTGCTAGATTTTGGCGGATTGGATGGTTCAGAAATCTGTGCTGATTCACAGGCCAAATTCCAGTTGCCCGAAATGTACTCAGAATAGTGGAAGTAGTCAGAGCCTTCCTGTGTGCTTTAATAAGTCTTGGGAAAAAATCACCCTTATGAATTCAAGTGAATAGGCCATGTTTTCATGACCAGAGATCAACCTCCTTTCTATCAACGTGCTGGAGAGGAGAGAAAATTCCAACATTAAGTGGCTGAAGTAGGTGGGTTGCATGAGTGGAGAAACAAAGAAGAAGAATATGGTTCTGAAGACTAAAAGAAACAAACTCATAGGATAAATGTGAGGCATGACCATCAATAAGGAGTAAGCGATAAACTCTCTCATTGATGGTTTTTTTTTGGGGATGAAAATGCTCTGTAAGCCATCTTAGACCTACTGCATTATTTGACCAACCAGTTGATAAGAGAGCAAATAATGCCTCTTCTCTTAGCTTGTAATCATGCTATCCCATATATTGTGCTTCCTCTTTATATATGATAAAGGGTGGAATGGTAGTTTCTGCAGTACAAATGGTATCCAATAAAGTTATTCACTCTCTTTCCTCCTCTTGAACTAGGTGCAGATTTTTCCTCTGCATTCAACAAATGACTTTCTCCCTGCTCGCAACTCCAATTTGGAAGTCCTTCTCATTGGCATTCCAAGTATTCTCCAGTAATATGTGGAAGCAACTCCGAACCTCGATTAAATAATTACAAAAATTATTTAAAATTGCTGGATAACTTGGAAGTATGCATTAACGATTAATTGCTTGAGCAAACGACTTGCCAGTTTTAGATAGCATTTCAGAGAGCGATTGTTATATATAGAAGTGTAATAGGTATGGCACGTAACTAAAAATGCATAAGGTCAGATGTTTGACTCTGGGCCCTGCCGTAGTTATCGTGATAATATTATATTATCGCATGGAATGATAAGGCATCTATGCAGCCCACTCCAAAGAGATAAGAGGCATGCGACCATGGGGTTTTCACTGGATAATGTAGAAGGAGCTCCGCTCTATAAGATAAGACTTAGTTGGTTCAGATTGGTTAGTTAGTTATGGAGCTATAACCTCTGCAAGGCTATATACTATTACAAGAACTAATATGCATATCGCTTTCAGCTCGTGTAAACAAGAGTCATCCGGAAGACTAGTTTACAATTGGTTAATAACAACTCACTGGACAAGTTAGTTATCTTCGTCATGCACTCTAAGCTATGTACATAGAAGAGTCATTGATAAGTACTTTAATGGAGCTAATCACTCCATTCATGAAGAGAGTGGGGAAGTTAGTTTTCAGGGTCAAATAGAGTTCACACTTCAAGAGCAGTGAATTGTTAGTATGATAGGTACATAGTGAGTAAGAGATTGGATGTAGCCCATGACTACTCAGACACGAATATAAATATTGAGGTACCTCTCTAGCTTTAAGCCATCCTCCGTCTCCGCTACACCTCCGGCGATTGAAAACTCAACACCACGGTTTCTATCGTGAGTTTTTTGTTTCATCGCGAAACTTTCTCCACCCTCCTGCCCACTCCTGCCTTTGGCCTTGGCCTAGGGGAGTCTGGTTCTTCTCTCCTCTCATGCTCGGGGTATTGACTTCGGTCTACCGTCGCGGGGCCCTCTCTCTCCTTAGGGGTTGGTCGTTCGGAGGCCCTCCTGGGCTGGCTGGCAGGTGGTGGGATCCCTTCCACTACAGTGACGCTATCTCTCCCAGAACAAGGGACTACAGGAGAGACGCGGTAAAACACCTGCTATGCTTTGCCTAGGCGGCCGTTGATGATCTTCCTTCTCCTCTTCTCCTCCCCCCACGTGTGGCGGGGAGTCCTCTCCTCCTCTTGAGTTGGCCTCGCTTAGCCTTCTCACGGTTGGCAACCCCTTAACCACCATTGTCAGACGGCCAGGACTACAGTTCCAGTAGGGGAGAACAGCTAACAGGCTATGGTCGATCTCCCCATTCTCTTATTTCCCTAAGAGGCCGCCTAGTCAGACACGAACGCGATACCGATAGATGATGTTTAAGGTCTTTGGGTCTACCCCACCGCTCTTCTCTCCCTGCGGTTGGATCGGCTGGCACCCTACTGCTACACCTTCCCCTCCCCCCGGTTATCGCCCACGGCCGGCTGGTCTCCTCCTTCCCTCCATGATATTGCACTGTCTCCTTGGAGTGGGTCTGGGGGGGCCCTCTATTTTAGCGCGCTTTGTGTGTCGCTTCCCACTTGAATGAGTGGACTCATCCTTCGGGGCCTACGTGGCTTGCTACTAACCTTTCTTTTGTCTTTTTAGGATTTCTCAGCAGGTTTTCCTACCCCTTTCTGCTTTCTTCTTAGTTAGGATTTCCTTGTTTGTCTATCTAGCCGGGCTTGGGTTTCTTTTCTTTGAGGCGAGATGTGCGGTTGGCTCCATCCCAGAGGGGCTTGGGGGGTTGGCTTTTTCCTGTGGCGAGAGGAGGGATATGGGTTTTTTGTCGTCATAGCTAGCGCTCCATACGTTTTTTGTACCCTAAACAAATAATCAATGAGTTAAACAAAAAAAACAAAAAAAAGAAATCTCTAGCTTTAAGCCCATTCTCTGTCTCCGCTACACCTTCACTCATTGACAAATATTTCCTAATTGGGAATGACTCAACACCGAGGAATTATCACCACTTTTCTATAGCCATGGACTACCCCGCCGGGGGGTGCAGGCTGTTTCTTTCCATCCCTCTGCCCATTGGGGCCTCTCTTCTACTCCTTTCCTTATCTGGCATCTCGCCTCTACTGGATGGAGGTCCTTTCCACACCCTGGGGGCCTCATCGTGAGGTCTCTGTCCTCTCTACCCCGCATTGGCTTCACCTCGCTTAGCATCAGCATAGTCAGCTTGGGCAGCTTGGTGATGGCTGGATGGTCAGTTAGGATGGTTGTCCTCTGGGCTATCGGGAGTAGCCTCCCCTACTTCTGTGACCCTACTTGCAGCCTCCTACTGTATTGTTTGGCCGCATCTTTGCTACCTTGCCCTCTTCATCTTCACTCCTCCGGGCTTGGCAGGCACCCTACTGGCAGGATCGGCTGGCAGCCTACTGGCAGGATCGGCTGGCACCCTACTGGCAGGATCAGCTGGCACCCTACTGGTAGGATCAGCTGGCACCCTACTGCCTCGGCCTTCGGGCCCCATCGTCACTGAGGTGGTAGTACTTTGGGCTACCCCTCCCACCTCCCCTCCATACCAGTATCACTTGGTGCTGCTCTCACTTCTGCCACCCTCGCAGCAGCTCTACAACTCTTTCCTGACTCTGGTGTCACTACAGGCACCATCCAACCTTTTCCACAACCAGACTCCTTATGGCTGGGGTCTACCTCCTCCCTCCTTGGCACTATCAACTGTCCTCCTCTATCACAGGTTGCTGGGATCTCTCGCCTGTCTTCCTCCCTTCAGACTTGCGGCCCACCACAGGCCGAACTACCAGTTGGCCTACCTTGGTATTGCACTATCTCTTGGGTTGAGCTGGCCAGCCCCATCATGGTATTTCGCTAGGGTCCTACTATGGGCCTGACAGCAGACACATTCATTTGCGGATGCCTGTAGAGGCACTTGGGGGTTTTCTAATCTATTCTTTCCTTTGTTGTGATGATGCTGAAGCATTTTCGTCCCTCTCCTGTCCTCCCTGTGGAGGACGATTGTGGCTGTGCAGGGCAGGATGTGCGGTTACGCCCATACCAGAAGGTCTTGGGGGGGTTGTTTTGGTTCCTGGGGTGTGGGGGAATGCATTTGGAATTAAGGTTTTGTTTTTGCCATAGCTAGTGCTCCATGCAGGTTCTTGTATCTTAACAAAGAATATATGAAGTTAAACAAAAAAAAAAAAAAACAAAAA